CCCCGTACTAGGGAAACCCTGTGTGCCATAGACACACACATAGACAACCACAAATTACACCCAAACTCAATATAGGCCATACAAATATTTCTCCCGGCTCGGGAATCGACCGCGAGACCTCTGTGTGGCAGTCCAGCATGGTAACCGTTCGACCACAGAGGCAGTTTAAAAAGATAAGTTTTACCTTACCTATTTCTGCCGCCAAGCAGTTTACTGCGTTCCAGTTTAGAAGGGTAAGGGTGCTGGTGAAATTAGAGGTAAATTACAGTATATGGGCCTTGTTAACTTATGTCTCTGGGTGACGTATGCATTGGCAGTGTCTCTAAGATCTCAGTGATATTGGTAAGCAGTCTCGCGACTTGTTCGTCCCGTCATTTGGTATTATAAGAACAATATTATTAATGTCTGTGAGAGAAAGGAGCCAAAACTAGAAAAGCCGTGTATCCTAGGACTACAGGTCTCCGCCTCTTGATTGAGCGAATTCTGTACTTAAGATTAAAATAATAATAATATGCCACTGGACTATATTAGTCTATATAGTCCAGTGGGACTAGGGTACTTCTCTCACAATGAGAGGATTTGGGCTGTATTTCCCACAAGGGCCCTATAATGATTGGAAACTTCACACGCATCATTAAATTGCTTTGCAGATTTGTGTGCAGGTTTCTTCACGATGTTTTCTTTGGTCGAAAATCTCATGATAAATTTCAAATGTGAAAGCCTGAATTCGAATCCAGAGAAGCGGTAGGTCAAAGCATTAGGTTACCGCGGATATCTTTTAAGTTTATTAGCTATCTAATATATTGTACACATACAGAAAGCATCAAGTAATAGAAAACTAAGAGCCTCTACACTTATGAAATCTCAGAATACTCAATAGGAACAATATAAATAAAATATTTGGAAATTGTAATAAAACAAATCCAAAAAAAATTTAATCTTTGCATACATATAGGTAACTATTAAGCCTACATATATATAGATATATAATATATTTTGGTTTATAATGTTAAATTTATAACTCTCATAGTTAGTTTTGTTGAACAGTAAACTGTTTACATACATACATACAAAAATGGTTAAAAATCTACAGCCCACGTCGGAAGTCACAAACTAGGGCATGCAAAAATGTCAACTCTATCTAGGAAAATTTAACTCTAATGCTGACCGTTTAGAGTAGAATTCAGATTATTAGTACGTTAAACAGTGAAAACGAAAGCTGAGGTATTTTGCACAAAGGAATTTGAATAAATGTTTTGAAAATTGATGTATAGTTCTTTCAAAGAGATTTCCTTATACTAACTTAGAAGGGTTCCGTGCCCAGTAGGGGGAAGTAATGTTGGTGAATGATATTAATGATAAAGGAAAAGAAAAAAGGGGAAGATTCAAGAAAATAGAAGGAGGTGAAGAGCTAGAACAGGCAAATAAAAGAAAAGGCGAAAGTAAGCGTCTACAAAGAGGTGAAGAGGAGGCGATATCGACAAGAGCATTGCTCTTAAATAATAAAAAGAAGGTGACTTCATTTACCCTGCCATATACAGCTTTTACAGTACCCAAATATCACCACCCAAGTACCACTCCTTCGTTGCCCACTTTAGGACGGAGGAAGTAAAAAAAAAGTGTTGTTATAGGTTATACTACAACCTTTACTTTTCGGAAATGGAACGAGAATGAAAGATTTGATCTGCGCAATCTCAATTATTAATTACCAAAATAGTTAACTCCTGGTCCTCCTCTCCTTACGGACAAACAGTTGACGTTTTTGATGACTTCAATGTAAGACACACATGTGAATATGATGTAAGAACAATGAAAATAAAACCATGCTCTTTTGAGGAAATAACACTTTCAAAAACATTAGCCCAATTTAAAGCTTCGATGCGGTCGGTTAAAAATAACCTTATTATTAACTCGACTAGTTTAGTTTAAACTTGACTTTCTTATATAAGAACAGTTTTTAGATCATACCTTTACATAATGACGGTTTACCGATTACGTAATTGTATCTAGTTTTATAACCGTGTTATTTTTTTACTCAAGTTTGTGTCAAGCTCATCCAAATAACAGGCGTGACGTCACAGTTTCATACATATAATTATTTATGGGAGCATCTTTTTCTTAAGTAGGTTGAGAAATAGTTAATTGCTGTTACATGTTAATATTGTGCTTGGCAAGTGATTAATTGACGATAGAAAACAAAAGTTGTAACATTACAGGGCTTGAAATTCGTCCACAGGCTTACAATATGATCGCGTTTATTTTGAAAGCAATTGTCCTATTTGCCGTAGTTGACATGCTAGCGAGAAGAGTAGACAACAATAGTAAATTTGAAATCTTATGTAAATACCACACCGAGATACATATACCTCTTGCGGATTTATTCTTTTCGCGCCTTGTGGGACACCTACTGTTGATTGGGTACCACATGCCAAAGTAAGACTCTATCTACCTGAATAGATACCATAGTTATACTATTTTATTAATGCAGCTGATATTGTTGTGTTCCGAATTGCAGAGTAGGGCAAACTGAGGCATGGCAATGGCGAGGCATTATATCTCTCAGCCAATAAGTTGTTTGATGTTAAAGATTTTGCAGTGCAGTGGCTGCTTTTCATCAGGAAGACCATCTGACTGCTTCCTTGTTAACCACAGAACATGGCCGTATAATACAGGTTTTTCAAAAACATTTTAACAATCAAGTCACACCCATCGATTCGAAAGTGATAGTTACCGACAACGACGTAATTGTTAACTGTCTGTCTGTCTGTTTGTGATTTGCATTGTTAACTCGATTCGAGTGGATGAAAAACAGCTTATAGCACGCTCAAACACAAACTCACACTGTTGTAAACTGCGAGTTAGAGCTCTATGTAAATTGTGTTAGGGTAAAATTTTGAAGAAAGTTTTTGACTCGTTGACCCACCGTACTATAGTGCTATTGTACAGAGTAATTTGTGTTTAGAAGAAGTCGTAAAATAAATACTGGCTGTAATAATTTCAGCTATACTACGATTGTGTAGCATCAGTTCTGTAGCTGATTGTGTTTTTGATAAATTCTTTAATAATTTCGTTTCAAGTAATAATACTGTCATCGGCGTACGATTTGACCAATCACGAATTGTTGATTGATACTTCTATAAATTTTTAACGATTGACTTTGGAAAAATGAAGTAACGTTGCATTCTTGCACGATTTTTGAAAAATCGACAACTGAGCAAAAGTTACGAATATATGACTGTTAAATATGAATATTAAAATGTAGTCAATTGTTTGCAATATATATTAAAGAAGAAGAAAAACGAGGAAGAGGAAAGAGAGAAGTAAGTGTGAGAGTATGTTGCCAAAAATCATTCTTTTAAAAGATTATCTGCAAGCTTATTTAGGATTAAAACAGAAAACAGGTTAAAAAAGTTAGTTCTCATAACCCGGTTGAAATAACTAAAGGTACTTTTCGTCAAGTTGAAATCATGGTGAAATAAACTTTTGAATCATGTGTTTGCTTGACCTGGATAAATGTTACGTAAAAGTGTTAAGAAAGTAAGAAATGTTAAAAAATATACTTCATAATAGGAAGGGATAGAACTGACATTGAAACTAAACTTATTCACCGTAACTTGAATTAAAAGATATTTTATTTCGACCATGAACCATCATTCCGTCAAGAAATGTCGAAAATGCATTATATCCGAGGATAATTCACGAGAATTGTGAATGAACACTTAGTTTCATTTTCGAAACGATAAAATAAATGTTTACAAAAGCAACTATTGAAAATCGCGTGCAACTTAAACGTGAGCATTTTATTATTATAAAACACGTGGCAAAATTTTCATATAAAAATATTATTATATTAAATAATAATCATATTAAATAAACATCCGATGGCGAGTCACGAGAAATTGCAAACGTGATTAGAAAGTTACTTAACGATTTTTCATTAAACAATGTTAATGAAAACTTTAATGCTTATTATGGTAATGGTAATGATGACTAATTGAACTTAAATGACGTCACAGTAGATTAAAGAAAGAATTATTTGGAAGACTTCATTTAGAATACTATTATTGTCTATACCGTCACGACTAATGTACTTAATCGTTATTTTTAAATTTCTCCATGGGACCTGATTCTGGGATGATCTGGTTTTTGTTCTTTATAGTAACTCAAAAACTGCAAATAGCTTTCAACATAATACTAGTAATATGCAAAAAGATTGAGGTATTCAAATTTAGTTTTAATTTTTTATCAGTTGTCTTCAATATTGTTTTCCTTTCATTATTGTGCTTGTCCAAGAGATGAAGGGTTGGTACAGAACTGTCGTTTACACAGGTATCCTTAATTACAAAACCGTATCTGGTGTTGTAGTCCTAATTTTAAACAGCCCCAGTAAAAGAAAAAAAAAGCTATAAACGAAACTGTAAAAGCGATATCTCAACGTAAATTACATAAAATATTATTACCCCGTGTTCCACAAAAGATGATGAAGATGTGAAGACATCTAGCTATCAAAGCATGAAAAGAACTGGATTTGGAACATCACTGCAATAAGATAACCGGTTGACGATTAAACAAATTGATGACCTCTTATTTAACTACTAAATTGCAGCTGATTAACTTTAACACAAAACTTAACTCAACTCCAAAAGACTACAGTCATAAAGTGCCAAATTTAAACAGCGTGAAGTGTTAAATTGTAACGTAAACTGTGGTTTAAATAAATAAAAAAAATATCATCATATACAAACTAAAAGCAGATTGACATGGGTCGAGATAAACTTCAAAAAAAGACACTAAAAAACGAACGAAACTTATGACTGAGACACAAAGAAAATTAAGCCAAAATTTCTATTAACCAAGAAAACAAAAAATAATCATTTTCCAATTTACAACAAGCGAATTGCACAATTACCATAAAACCTTTTTCCGATACAACACTTGATTTACGACTTTCCATTCACACATGCACATCATATACATATTATACGACAATGTATTTGTACCTTCAATTGTAATGACACACACACTTACCTTATAGTCAAAGTGTGTGGTCCGGCGCATGGGGAGCCCCTAGCTGCAGCATGGACCGGCAAAGCTCCGTGATCTCCGGGTGATTCAAGTTAATCAGATGCACGTACATCTGTTTGTGCAAGCTCAGTTCTGACGATATCGCCTCCAGCCTCTTCAGTAATGCCTCTTTTTCCCTCAACAGAGCTTTTACCTTTTCTTCAACTTCCCTCGAACGCACTTTAGCTTTTTCTCTCGATTTTCTCACAGCAATATTGTTGCGTTCACGTCTTCGTCTGTACTCGTCTGTACCTTTGTCTACCATTTTGCCTGATGATCGTCTCGAGGGAGTGGGTTTATGTTTTAACAGTGGAGGAAGCAGTGGTGCTCCCAAAGGAGGCAGAGGAGTAAAGCCTCCTCCGTAAGGTCCACTAACTCCTACAGGAGGTTGAGGGTTATATTGCCCCGTGTACTGAGCGCAAGTCACTACTCGCCTAAAATCTTGAGGCTCTGGAGGTTCCTCCTTTATTGGAGGTGGTGCTTGCTCATGTCCGGAATTGGTTGGAACAGGGGCTGCATACGAAGCTCCCGAATGTACTGGTTGAGGCATATACGCCAAAGTGGTCCTAGCAAAAGGTCGGTGTTGAGGAGATCGACCTCCAGGAAGTATTTCCTGGAACAACGCCATTGTCTCCTCGCCCCGAAACTGATCCTCGATGAGGTGTTGCAGATCCAAGCTGATTTCCTGTCCATTGAGCTCGTCCAAATCAGGAGGTGGAAAGGGTGCTCGTTTGTCTTCCGCCGCCTTCTTCAGGTCTGGTTGAGGTGGCGGCGGCGGCGCGCCGGTCTGATCGTACATCTGCGGGGATTCCATTCCGCCGCCCGGGCCTAGGACGGGCCCAGCGGCGCCGTTGGCCCGAGCCTCCACTTCAAAGCACTGGGTCGCCGTCACTGAACACTCACGGCGCGGGGCACACGACACTGTATCGGCGCGGCGTGTCACTCTGTTTATATTTTACGTTAGGAGAGATACGCGCGTGCGCTCGGTGCGGCGGTCGGGCGCGGACTGCCGACGCGCGCGCTCGCCGCGACAAGGTTGCCGGAAGGAAGAGCTGAAGCTGAAAGTTTGCCGGTAAAAGTTTTGTTTTGGCTCCTGATAAGATAGCGCTGTGTGCGTGCGCACAGTATAGCGCTGTACTGCGCTTGTCATTTAAGTGTGGACTTTATATTTCAATTGCAGATAATGTTCTGTCTTAAGCTTTCATAGGGATTATTATAATAACGGAAGGCGCAATATAATCGCTAGGATTAATGGTGTCAAATAACACTCTCTAATATACCGATTACGATTTTATTTAGTTTTAAAAAAACAATTTTAATTAATAAGAAGTCAAAAATGTACTTTGTGCACGTGCTCCGTGTTCTTGAATTACACTAACATAACAAATTATTCGACAATGCAAGCAATCGATATAATCTGTGTCAGTTTTTTTTGCACGTGTAAGAAAAATTGTATATTACGATCTGTTTTAATTTTGGTTCTTAATTACTTATTTAGAAGACATCTTATAAATTAACAGACCAACAGGGACAAGGGCTAGCTGCTGGCTAATTTAACGTATTAAGATTCATTATTATCATAGCTGTTAATTTGTAAGTTATGTACATTTGTGAATATTCAGAAGCAATAGCTCTACTAACGACAAGCAAGTATAATAAAAAGAGCGCTGCAATGCCACTTCAAGAAAAAACATGCTATATTTGTATACATTTACAGCATTTTATATTTGCATGAATACACCCCATACTAATAAATAATTTCATTTGACATAGTCGCATACAGAAATCGCCCAAAGCCCTATTTTATTAATTTTTTTATGATAAGTAACAGGACGAACAAGTCGTGCGTCTGATGGTAAGCGACACATGCCTGTCCATGACAGTTGCTGCGCCACTCA